TGCACACACACATACATAGGTCAACACAGAACAGCTATGCACACACACATACATAGGCCAACACAGAACAGCTATTCATAAACTAATTAGACACGCACATACATAAGTCAACACAGAACAGCTATGCACACACACATACATAGGTCAACACAGAACAGCTATTCATAAACTGATTAGACACACACATGCATAGGTCAACACAGAACACCTATTCATAAACTGATTGGACACACACATACATAAGTCATCATAGAACAGCTATGCACACACACATACATAGGTCAACACAGAGCAGCTATTCATAAACTGATTGGACACACACATACATAAGTCAACACAGAACAGCTATGCACACACACATACATAAGTCAACACAGAATAAAATGATGAGACACTAACACACATAGGTGCAGTACAGCTATGCATAAACTGATTAAACACACACATGCATAGGTCAACACAGAACAGCATACCTGTTACTATGCCCAGGAACAGACCCTCCAGTACCCAGGTATCCGTCATCCACCCAAACAACCCATCGTGTATATCTCTGCCTATACTAAAGGGCTCTGTCATCATCACATACATAGCAAGCACCATCTGTAGACAAGTAGTGGCACATGAGTACTAATGTAACCCATTATGTGTATTACTGGCTAAGCTACACATGTGTATCTCTGCCTATACTAAAGCGGTTAGTCATCATCACATACATAGCAAGCACCATCTGTAGACAGGTGGTGGCACATGAGTACTAATGTAACCCATTATATGTATTACTGGCTAAGCTGCACATGTGTATCTCTGCCTATACTAAAGGGCTCTGTCATCATCACAAACATAGCAAGCACCATCTGTGGACAAGTGGTGGTATGTTGGGGCTAATGTGACTCATCATGTGTAAAACTGGCTATACTACACATGTGTATCTCTGCCTTTACAAAAGGGGTTTGTCATCATCACGTACATAGCAAGCACCATCTGTAGACAAGTGGTGGTATGCGAGTACTAATGTAACCCATTATGTGTAATACTGGCTATACTACACATGTGCATCTCTGTCCCCACAACCGCCTACTGCGCTTTCCACGTGCACGTGACTACTTGCGTTGGCAATGCTCCACATACTGTAGCTACGCCCTTTAAGATATGTAAACTATAATAAATTATACACACTCCTTGGATACGCTATCAATCCCACATAATGCGTGATCCATTGGACAGCGCACAGCACACAGATACAACAGGTGTACTATACGAGCACCCACACATTGCATGGAAATAAACCTGTATAACAAACGCAGTATAATGCACCACATACTGTAGCTACGCCCTTTAAGATGTGTGGACTACGATGAACCACACAAACTCATCGCATAAGATCTCAATCATACTCGAACTGTGATGAATGTCATATACAATATGTGTACTATAAGAGCATCCGCACATTACGTGTGAATTAGTCCTAACAATATACGAATTACAATGCACCATACATTGAGCGTATATGCGGGTTGAGTACATACCGCTGTGATGCCCTGTACAGGCAGCATGTACAAAAACAGCGGCATGGACGCTCTCAACTCATTTCCGTAGCGCAGATACCATACAGCACCTGAAAAGGTTTTTGGGACCGGAATTGGGCAAAGAAGAGTATGAATTTTTTTTTGGGTACAAGAGTGACGACAAGAGTGTCATCAAAACATGCTACACAGCCCCTGAGGAAAATTGGGCTTAGGTATGGAAACAATGGAAGAGTGAAAACAAGGGCAAAGTCTGTGCCAGAGAGTGATGTGCATATGCACGCACGGGTCACAACATGAACACACAAAGACGTACGTATATACAACATGCACACACAAGCACCGACTTATGCATAAGCATCCACGGTGCGATACAGAACTTTCTAACTATTTCAAACTTACTTCCTAAGACTTCCGATTCACTGATATTCTATCTCACACACACACACACACACACCTACACACACATACATACACACACACACCTCCTGCACTGAGAAATGCCACGGCGTCACCCAGCAAGCTCCTGAATATCTTGTCCCTGTCCTGTCCCGGCATTCCTCCCACAATGCTAAACAGGACACCCCCCAGGGCAATCAGAGCCCCCGCGCGCTCCATCGGTACGACAATCTCGGGTGTTTGGAACTGTTTCAGTGCCACTAACCATACACACACGGAGGTGTTCAACAGATACGCGTGGGTTACGGAGGTATAGGCGAGCGCCACGAAGAAGCCTATAACCTGATAGTCAGAGAAGGAGATAGGCATGAGGGTGGCAGACGACTGGGTGGGTGTGTATGTGAGGCGGAAGGAGTGGCATGTATGTGTATGTGTGGGTGTGCGTACACGATTGAAGTAATACAGAAAAATAGAGATGGAGGGTTAAGGCTTGATATGTTGCACATAGATATATATACATATACTTACACATACACAGATGTACTTCGTTTATGCTTGGGTGCACGCAGTAAGGTGTTGTAACGCATCCGGAACACGCCACACTATAGTTTGATCGTTTCATACATCATACATCAATGCAAAAATGCAAAAATGCACACAAAAACATATGCATATATATATATATATATATATATATATATATATATATATATATATATATATATATATATATATATATATATAAATACATATACACAAACAAACGTATTCGCATGTCCATACATATAGAAATGTACAAACAGGCGTAAACACGTGTTTACGGACCACCGCTTGAAAATATGCTCCACAATATGCACACACGCGGCTGAAAGAGTCAAGTTTAGGTGGGGCACTATACTGCCACAAAAAGGAAAGATCATTTTGAGCGGTGGTAGACAGTGGCATAGCTAGAGCCGCATTAATTTATACAGATATACCTACTCGTAGTATATATATACACAGACAATACATACATAACATACATATATACAACACACATGCATGTACATACAAACATGCATACACATATCCAACACTCATCTACACAGTGGAAACTATCGAGCTGTAGAGCCGCTTTTTTGTGCCGATCGAGTATGTGTCTGGTAGAGATCACATATACTATTACACATATGAATCGAAATACATATTCAGATACGAGCATGTGCATACAAGTACAAATATGTAAATTCCATACACACGCATGAACGTGCAAATATGAATACTTCAGACTTACCCACAGAGTGTCCTTCTCATACGTGTACTCGGATATCCGTACATATACGAGTATCAAATACATACCCATGTAGTGTAAGATATCCGTACATATACGAATATCAAATACATACCCATATAGTGTAGCCTATCGAGCAATACAGCATCTTCATCAGTACAGGCCGTGTCAAGATGTGTCTGAGATCGTCAATGGGTGTGGAGAACAACTGCCACAGCGACAACGGCAGAATGCACAGTGTAATGGACGTGGATCGCCACAGCCCAATCATCGGCTCACTCACACCGGTCGATGACACCTGCTTGGTGACCAGGCCCTGTGATGTGGAGAATTATGTGAATGGGATGGTGGTTATGTGCTTGGCATAATATATACGTGAAGAGAATATAGGCTATATAATATATATCACATATGTATATATATATATATATATATATATATATATATATATTATTATACTATACACACACACATATATAT